CTTTAGAATAACTTTAAATCTTTACTTCTTGTAGAACATATTCCAGGATATTAAAATGATTCATGGGCCGTGGAAATGGATCTTGGAAAGTTCCTTAAGTAGTCCTGGTTAGCCTATGATTGGGGTGAAATCTTCCCTTCTATCAGGTTGTGGGTTTTTTTGTTTGTTTGGGGTTTTTTAGAATACTAATACTTTAACTGTTTTGTAGCAACTCATTTATCATCTTCAAAAGATTATTAAAGACAAACTGAAGTCTAAAAAAGGGGAACATGCGTTAAGGCAGGCACTGGGGGGCAGTATGGGGGTCAACAGCAAGGATGGAGCCTGCCAGCCCAACGCAAAGGTAAGAAGGAATGTGGCAGAGGGAGTATGGGGGATGGGAACAGTGACATAGGGAGGGAGGGCAGGACTATGGGGTGCAGGGGGACAAGTGGCACTATGTGCAGAGGCAGCAGGGAGCAGGCAGCAGCTGCAGCTGCAGCTCCAGCTCAGAGCCACACCAGCTGCCTATCCCCCACTGCCTAATACTTAATTGCCAGAGCAGGGGCTTTTTCCTCCATATGTTAAATGCAGGGGGAAAAAACTTCATTTTCTAACTGAGTAAATACAGTATATGCACATATTCACAAACTTAGTTTTAAGAAACTTAAAATCTGTAGATACATGAGAACAAGTACTGTTTGAAAAAAGCATAGAGCAGTGGAAAGCATTTGTTTTTAAAATGCTTTTTTCAGCCCTTCCTACAGACCATTTTTTAAAAGTTATACATAAAGTAAAGCAAAACAAAAATTAAATTTTACTTTCAACCAAAACTGAAACTGGAGTAAACTGTTTCATCAGCCAACTTCGCCCTGAAATAACACAACTATAACTTTTCTGATAGAGTCTATGCACCCTACGTCACCATACTCCAGCACAAAAAAAATGTTATTTAGGATGACCTTCAGCTTGTCAGCATTGACAGACTAACAAACAAGCCACAGTAAAATCCATATTTATGCTTACATATAAACAAAAAACAGAGTAAATGTAATATAAGGGATGAGGACCAAAGTGTTAGAGAGCGCCAAAGGTTTCAAAAGTTGACTTCCAAGTCAATAGAATATATGATTTCATTAAACAAAGATAAAAATACTTTGTACTTAAATGTATTTTACTCACTTACACTCCACATATATTGTTTTTTTCATCCATGCCTTTCAGTGGCATATTACAGCATAAAAGCATTTCCTGAACTATTTAGGGGATTGGAATATTGTTAACACTTGGGGATATCACCTTTAGTAAGTCAGGAATCAGATTCCTATACAAAATTTACACTATAGCCAAAGAAAGGAGCTAATTATATTTTAAAACATGAATAAAAATTATGAAAGGGATATCAAAGAACCAGCCCACAGTGCTCTCTGGGTTCCAGACTGGCCTCAAAAGGAGCATGTGCCCAGGACTGGCAAGGGGCACTTCATGCAGCTTGCAGGGCTGGACCTGGTGCATGCACTGCATACACCACACTGCATCAGTCCAGGGCATACACTGCATGTGGCACCTACACAAGACCAGTCACGCACACTGGCTCCAGTGTGCAGGGCCAATCTGCAGGCCCAATCCAGTCTGCAAACCAGCCCTGCACTCCTCATCTAGACAGTGGGGACAAGAGTTTGATAGCCCCAATTTACCATATTCCCCAAAGAGATGGTGTTTGCTTTGATGTTGTTGTAAAGGTTGAATTTGGCAGTTTAGAGGAAGTCCATTAACACAGCCAAAGCACCATCAAGGCAATTAATGAAAAATCACTAACCAAGCTGACATTTTACACACTTAAAAATTACTTCACCAGGACAGAGGTGGTTGTTGCCAAGAGTGGAGAATAACAAAGTGATGAAAGTCAAGATGGTCTAATTTTATGCAGAAAAAAAATCTCTTTAACGTGAAAAATGAATAGACCATTATCCTGGATGAAACTGGTAAGTATATTACACACTTTAACAACTTATGCACTTACCTCAGCATTTAAATCTTGCAAGATATCCCCAAGCAAATCATCCTTGGACAGGTCTACAGCTTTCTGTACAATATTAAATAGCAGTTAGCCATCTAGAATTTTTAAATACATTTGTTTGCCAAACCAAGAAGCTGCCACTATAAGGATAATGAGCTGTCTTATACCAGGGCCCATTATTTTCCAAAAGTGCTAAGCACCATGCCCACACAATGGGGACTGTTTAAGTCTAGTGTGGATACTGACTGTAGGAAATAAAAACTCATGCACCACTCAGAGGCCCTGGACAGACATAACCTTTACAGCATTGCAAACACCAAGTGTTCGGAAAGGGTGAATGGAAAGATGTACACCTCATGTGAAGCACCCCAAAAATGGCCGGTGCTCCGAAAACAACCCTAGAGAACACAAAGTGCTTCTTATTATGTATGCTCAACCTATGGAGTACAAGAGGAGGTTGCTCTTGCCTTCAGCATCCTACAGTGTTTGTTCTCCCCCTCCCAGAGGGAGAAGTGAGACAAATAGCCAATGAGAGCTCTCCCATGTACTCAGCTGTCATCAGGGCCGGAGCGCAGGAAACTCTCTGCCTCCAGTCTTAGTCCCAAAACAGTGGGGGAAGGCCTATACATCTGTCCACAGCTGAAGTGCTCCAGTTTTGAAGCACTTCAAATGTTACATCTGTCCAGAGCCAAAATAAGCCACTAAATTACACAGCATTAAAACAAACTAGTTCCAATTCCAACATCTTTATATGAAACTTACATCTGTGTTTTTCTTTCCTGCGCTGGCTATAAACATAGACTTGATAGTGTTTGGCTTTGATACCACAGATTTCTTCACATTCTTTTTGTCATTTGTTTTGTCACCTTTTCCTAGTAGGGCAAGAGATAAGTTAGCAGTTTCTCAAAACTTCAGGTAAGAGTCCAGAAATTTGCACTGGGACACATCTTTCATCTTTTGTTGGTGGCTAAAATCTAGGGTTAGTGTTGACTAAAAAGTGTTATCTTTTCTTGGATCTCATTTCATAGTTCAAAAGTAAACAACAATGAAATTGCCACCATACGTGATATCCTATATGTGACTTTCATAGAGGTCAGCAACTAACTGTTTTTCATTCCTATTGGTGGTCCAGTCAGAGTAAGACAACACCTTTTTAAGTGTTTATGAAGCATGACTTAGTGTTACCTCACTAAATGCTGTTTTATATTTCTATTATCATAAATAATCCACTGCTGAGACAAATGGACTACAACCACCAACGCATCTATCTGCATAGCACTGATTGTATAACGAACTTGAGACTTTTCTATTCTGAAGAATGTTCAGAATAGAATGTTATTCAAGTGCAGCTTTTTCCATGCTTTTCTGGGTAAAAGTGTTGGACAATAAAATGCCCCATTGTTAAAAATACACTTGGACGCTAGAGTCGATACTTAAGGAGAAAAATAATCAGCTTCAACATTTGGTAAAGCAACTTGCACTTTATGAACTGTGTGATCTCCCAAGAAAGCTATCTTATTCTAGAATATTTAATCCTGGAAGAATAAATGCTCCCCATCTGAGCTTCTTGTCATTCAAGAGCAGACTTCACTGGAGAGCTTTAAGGATGAATTATTGGACTGGCAGTAGTTCATGCTAACTTTCTGATAACCAAGCTTGATTATCTCCATCTCACAGCAATAAACAGAGGCTCTGTAGCCCATACCAGCCTCCTAGGATCATTTAAGGAACCACAGTGCATTTAAACAGCAGTGACGCCAATACAAGCCGACATTTGGCTTTAAAAGATTTCTTAACTAGCTTTATGAGCAGTTGGGAAAACCTGACAAAAAGGTTAAGTTTGTTTACCTTTCTTGCTAGGAAGAAGAGCATCATCTTCTAGATCTTCATCGAATATCTCCCTTCCATCTTCTACATAACCTATGCCATCTGTACAAAAATAGGTCATAACCGTTAATCCTAAGTAACACTTTATGAATTTGTAATGATAAAACTATACATTTGATTTCAATTATTAAATAACACTTCTGCTTTTTATTTTTTTAAATGTATTACATATTAAGGTACTTACTCAAATCCAAAAGCCATTAGAACTGGGTTGGCTTATCTCAGTGTATCTTTTCATAGTCAAAACAGGTAAATTATAAAGGTTTATTTTTTTAAATCAAGCATTGTAAGTACATAAAACTGCTTAACCAGAACTTAGTCGCTTGCTAATCAGCATTTGAAACATTTCCAGTCAGTTATATAACTTCAAGATCCTTGATCTTGAATGCATTATTAGCTCAGACCATAAGCCTAAAGTCTTTGTGTAGTGACTCATCTTTTTCTTGTCTATTAAAAATAATTCGTGAGAATGCACAGAAGTATTGGCATTTTGCAGGAAGGTTTGCATAAAACTTGCTGCAGTTACAATAACAATAGCATGGTTTCACTAATTTCGTTTGCTTGTTTTAAATAATACAAACAAAAGATGTTTGAACACACTCGGCCCAAACCTGTGCCTCAGATTAGCTGCTTTTCACATTTATTTTTTGTATTTAGTTATCTGTTTTTGTATCAAGATAAATCTTACGCACCATCATCAATGATCCAGTCATCATCCTGCCGGTCCCTGACCATCTTGGAGTATTGTTCCTCATCAACTTCATCATAAACACCTGTGAATTCTTCAACCTACAAAGAAGGTACACGTATCTCATGCTATTACTTTTTAATACAGTATCTTTATTAAACACTCAGGCATAAGAAACCATTCACAAAGTAATTGCAAATCCTCTTTCAGCTTCAGTTGTTTTCTCCATTTTAAATGCTAGTGTATCACAAGGCTAAAAGAGATCAGAACTAAACATCCTTTACTGTTGATATGACTAATAAACTTTATCACTATATTTGCTTTTTACTGTGTTAATTGTGGACCTATGCACAACATTTTTATAGATTCATTATCTGATGGATCACCATATTTGTACTTATCATTAATTCTAGGAGTAGGAATAATGCTTCTGTAATGCTTGGCCCTATTTTATTATTCTATTTGCATTTCTGTTATTTTTGTTTAAATTTATATTATGGTTGTATGTCTTCTGTTGTTTTTAGGAGCATGGCTTTCAGCCAGAATCCTTAATAAATTGAATTGAATTGAACTGCTGGTGTATTTATAGGGAAAGTATTTTTAATCAAAAAACTAACCTACTATATTGAAAGTCAACGTTGTGTACACACACATTATGGTAAATAATGTATTTAACATACGTTTGCCAGTTTCACAATAACTGGTGCATCATTTTTAAGGACTTTTACTAAAAATGCACGCTAAAATGTAAGGTTCTTTTCTCTTGTGAGCAACATGAGGTACATGAAGGTCAGAGTTAATTGAAGTATGTGCAAGGATTAAAAAGATGTTGTAACTAATGTAGACATGCACTCTCAAGGTGAATCTGCATCTTGAGCAGTCTGGGGACCAAAAAGGCGGCGTACGCCCGGTGGAAGGGGGGTGAAATCTCCAAAGAGGAGTATACCTCCTCTGCTCGGGCCTGTAGGCGAGCTGTTAGGAAGGCCAAGGCGGACATAGAGCTCGGATTAGCGTCCAGGATTAAGGATAACAAAAAGTCCTTTTTCAAATATATTGGGAGGAT